TTTATAGCACTTCCTTCCTAGGGGAGCTGCAAGTGAGCAGTGTAATTGTCTGTGAAAACTCTTCTGGGAAAAGGTAGGGATTTGGCAGACTAGAGTTCTAATATTAGCTTGAGTATTAATAGTGATGTTTAAAAGACGACCATAAAGCCAAGGAGAAATCTTGTCTTTTTTTTTTTCCCTTTGGTATCGGGGATCAAACTCAGGACCTTGTACTTGCCAGGCAGGCGCTTGTGCTGCTGCGCTATATCCCCGGCCATGGGAGAAATTTTGGAGATACTCTGTCTCCAGTTATAGATGAAGAAAATCATGCCCAGTGGGTTAAACAGTTAGGTAGGAGGCCACACACACATCATCAAAATCGTAATTCGTACCTTAATATGAGCCTCGTGTTCTCTCAGTTCCATTTCTTTCCCTTCATAAAAATCTTCCTATAATTCCTGGTAAACATTAAACTTGCCAAGCACATTCTCATTTTAGCAGAATATGAAAATGTGAGAGGATTTTAGCCATGCTTCCTCACCAAAAATATTTTATTTTTTAGCTTTTTTTTTTTGGTTTTTCTCTGGTACCGGGAACCGAACTCACGACCTTGCACTTGCCAGGCAGGCACTTTGCCGCTGAGCTAAATCCCCAGCCCCACCAAAAATATTTTAAATGGAGTATTTTCTGGTCCTAAATATGTCGCAGCACTTCTAATTACATTTGGACGTTGTTTAGGGAAGAGATTGTTTAGGCTTTATTTCTGGCTTTGAGTACAACACGCTGCACTTTTTATTGTACAAACCGTCATGTGATCAACCGCAGTCTCAAAGTAACGGAGTGGGAAATTTCAGGCACAAGCAACCCACAAGCTTGTACTGTACGGAACACTGTCCCGTGCGGTGTGACATCATTTCTTGCTGTCTGCCTCCATCCCGCCAGAACATGAGGCCTCCCTTTGTCCAGCGCATCTGCGCTGCACGCACTACCTGCCCGGAGTCGGGTCTGTCATCAGATTGATGTCACAGGGGAGCGGGCCTTGTGTTCAGGTAGCCCGAGTTCTCTCTCCTAATGGCCGCAAAGCGCAAGAGCACCGTGGCTGGTAATTTGGATACACCAGACAGAAGTGGGAAGGGCTTCCTGTAAATGAAAGTTCTCAATTTCATAAGAAAATGGAGGAAAATAAAAGAATCTGTATGCCGGGGTGAATAGGAAAAAACCCAGCACATACGGGATTATCTGTTGGGCATCTTTAAAAATACACGCTGTGGATAAGGAGCGAACGGTGTGATTTGCTGGGAGCCAATATAAATATCTTAATTTCTTGGCTGGGGACTTGGCTCAGCGGCACAGCGCCTGCCTGGCAAGCGTGAGGTTGTGAGTTCGATTCCTGGTACCAGAAAAAAACAAAAAAACAAATAAAAATCTTAATTTCTTGAAGGAAGAGGAAGAGAGCGAGACTTTTGAACTGAGCAGAGAATATGAAGAATTAATCAAATTAAAAAGAAGTGGTTCTATTCAAGCCAAAAACCTAAAAAGCAAATTTGAAAGAATCGGGCAGCTGTCTGAGAGAGAAATACAGAGGAAGATAGAAGAGGAACGGGCGAGGAGGAGAGCAACTGACCTCGAAATCAAAGAGCGAGAGGCAGAGCACTTCCACGAGGTATGCGGCTTTCGCCCTTAACACCGTTACAGGCCAGGGATAGAGAGCTTCGCACAGGGCGGCGGGGATCGCTTTAATCACCGGCACATACAATAGTCAGACGGAAGCGCAATCACAGTGAGACCTGAGGAAACTGAAAGGCTTTCCCGCTCTAGCACTGTCAGAGTGAGACTTACCACGTAACGAGCATCAGGTAGCTCAGGCTAAGCAAGGATGGTTCGAAAATACTGGAGTGTACTTTAGCTGATTCAGTAAAACCAGCGTGTACGCGAGTCTAACTCCACATTATTCCTTCAAACTTCGCATTTTTTTGGTGAGGGCCACAAAGCCCTTCGGGTTTGCTTAGCAGCACAGCAGTAATTCCTGGAAGAGCCCGAATCACAATTCTGGGGACCTCCTCCATGTGTAAAATAACACCTCCTGTGGCGTCTCTTGCCAGTTAAGGAGTACTTGCATGGCTACAAGTATTGGCTTACGTGAGATCTGGACTTTTATTTCCTACCAGAATTGCCTTTGTATAATATTTAACAGCATCTGACCTATATTCTAAAAATGTTTTTATTAAGTCTTCAACTAGCAGGGATGGGAGGTCGGGAGGGCTTTCAGAGACGAGCGGGCGGGAAGAATGCAGACATCATGTGCATGCCACTGGGACCATAAGCAGTTCATTCAGGTAAGCACAGAGTGCAAAGAATAAAAGGTGAACTGGGTGTGGTGGTGCGCGCCTGTAATGTCAGCACTTTGGGAGGCTGAGGCAGGAAGATCAAAAACTCAAGCCCAGCCCCAGCAATTTAGTGACTTAATGAGAACCTACCTTAAAGTAAAACATAAGTGAAGGCAGGGAATGTAGCTGTCAGCCCCCGTACTGGGGAAAAAACACAATCAAAGGTAATAAAGGTGCAAATACAGGTGCCATGATCATGGAAGGTTTCAAGATGCCAGATTTTTAAAGCATGCAGAGGAGCCAGATGTGGTGGCACGTGTCTGCACTCCCAGCACTCTAGGAGGTGGAGGCAGGAAGGACTCTTTTTTGAGTCCAGCCTGGCCAACTTAGCAAGACCCTGTCTCAAAATAAAAACCGGGGTGCGCATGTAGCGTGGTGTCAAGCCCTGTGCTCAAGTACCAGTACTGCAAACAAACACACTGACACTAAAGGTGGTGCCTGATTCGTACATTAAAAATTAAGTCGATTTCCTGTGTGAGATTGCTCTGCACATTGGGATTGCCTCGGTGACTGAATTTGCAACCCCTGCTCATATAGCGCTTAATCTAAAGATGGCTGGGGCCTGCCCGAGCCTGGTCCCAATGGAAACTAGAAATTAACAAAGCGGGGTGAGGTAGAGTTCGTGACTTATGTTGGGACCTAAGTTGTTCTGGGGACAGAGGAGTGAGCCTAACAGGGTATGCTTGAAAACAGTGGTTAGAAGGGCTACACACTGTACTTGAGTGTTACAGGATCAAACTGGATGGAGTCATTATGTGTAGGTGGGATTTTTTTGAGGGTCTTACTCTGTAATTCAGGCTGGCCTTGAAATATGTAGCCCACACTGGCCTCAAATTCGAGGCATCACACCTGGCTAGGTGAGGTGGGCTGAGAAAAAGGCATTTAAGGAGTGTGAAGGCTCACGAACACTGTAAAGAGAGGCCTATGATTGAGGGGACGATGTGTCAGTAGCGGTGGTACATTTTTTCTAGGGAGGGGTCAGCAGGTCCAGAGTATCAGGCAACATAATGGGTGATAGGTCACCAAGTTGCAAAAGTAGGTTGTGGTTGGTTAAGGGCCTAACCCTGCAGGACTATAACCTGGGAAACAATGTTATTCAAAAATTTTAGTAAGACAGAAAAATCTTTATCAAAGTTTCCTGGGATCTTGGTGAACTACAAGACAAGCAAGAAGGTCTGACTTGGGGGCAGGGAGGAAGCTATTAACATTTCGTAAAAGGCTCCTTCTGGGCAGGCAGTTACTGAGGGGCCAAATGTTACACCAAGGGTTTTGGAAAAGCAGATCAACTGTAGAGAAATCAGGTCTGGAGAGGAGTGATGAACAAATTATTTTAGGTAAGGTAAAGGCAGTGTGATGAAACACAGGTCCTGAATTTAGGTCAGAGGCAAGATCATCGATCTTTCTTATTTTTATGAACAGTATCTTAAAGTGGTAGGCGAGCCATATAGAAAGAATTAAGAGTGGAGCTAACTAAAGCCCTGGACCACACCAGTATTTTAGTGGCAGCTGGTACAAGATCAGTAGGGAGGAGTCTTCAGAGATTAAATGCATCACAGAAGATAAAATTCAATTAGCGTGGTTTTTTTGGTTAAAGACTGTGGAAACTCAAGAGCAGTCACACCTATCCCTATGAAGTCGGTAGGTAAGAAACAGCTAAGGTAGCCAAGTGATTTTTTTTTTTTTCCCCAAAAGAAATTTTTGTCTTGAGACAGAGTATGCAGTTCAGGCTGGGATTACAGATGTGTGCCACGTTAGGCTGAGATAGTCCTAAAAAACTGTTAGAATAGTTTTGGTGGAGTACGGTCAACTTCCTGAGTAGGTCCACCCATAAGCACTAATTTGAATCCCTATAGCAATCTCCACTCCACAAGTCTGATCATCTAGATTTAGAAAATAGCATTTAACATGTCTTTGAAATTTTCATTTATTTTTGTCTTTTTGAGACAGGGTCTCGCTGTGCAGTTCAGGCTGGCCTTGAGCTCACTTTGTAGCCCAGGCTGGGCTCAGACTCGCAACGATCCTCCTGCCTCAGCCTCCCAAGTGCTGGGATTACAGGTGTGAGCCAACATGCCCAACTTGAAATATTCCATAATTAAAAAAATTTTTTTAGAAACAGGGTCCTGCTAAGTTTTGAAGTTGCCCAGACTAGGTCTGAATATTGAGATCTTTCTGCCTCAGCCTCATGATGTTGTGTGTGTGTGGTGAGGAGGGCAATTTCAGGCCTGTATCACTTGCCTGGTCTAAAATTTTTATTTTCAGAGTCCGAGTTGTATAGACTGGGCTCCTACGTCCAGTCCTCGTGCCTTAGCTTCCTAGCGTACACTTTAGGCCTGACTCACTCATGTAACTTCCCATAAAAATAATTCCCTTGCAGCGCCTGCAGTGTTCAACCTGTCCCACTTGATTTTTAAGGCCATCAAATCTTTAGCAGTGTTTGACCTCAGTTTAGTCTTCCTAGTAAGGTATCCTCCCCACCGTTACTTGTCCTGTCACCTCAAAGGTAAACGCCTGTCTGCCTTACTGCTCCTGGGCAGGGCTGTCAGTGCCCTATAAACAACGGGCCTCAAGGGCAGCCATTCACTGAGATTTTCCTCCAGAAACACTAACCTCGTTTCTCAGGGCTGCACGGTGACAGGGACACTTAACTGGCTGCTTGCATGCTTTCTCCCAATTAGCTGATGAGGAGTTTTTAAACTCAAGTTTATTTTCTCAGTGCATATTCAAGGCAGCTATATGAGCGTTTCTGAATTTGCAGATTGTTATGCTAAAATCAGAAACTCAAGTTATTAAATGGGATTCTGTCAGAATAGCAGTTATTTATAGCTGAACTAAGCAAAGCATTGTTTCACACATACTTTGGTCTTATCTTCTAAGGATGATGGTAAGTAATAAAACCACTCATCACTCATTAGCGTAAGTGGTCAGGCGTTAGTTTCACCACCTGAACAGCAGTGACAGCCCATTTATGCCTAAGTCCTCAGGCAGCTGTTTGTGCCTGATGTTCTAGGCTTTCCCTACATGAACTAACATTTTTCCAACTTTCTACTCCTTTCACTGCAACACAAATGCAAAACCTCACAGAAATCAAGGTTTTCTTATATAATCAACCTGAACTGTACATCACCATTTCCTATTAGTTGGATCTAACACCCTAAAGCAATTTCTGCACAGTAATGAGAAACAGACACAAAAACCAAAGTACAGGGCTGGGGATTTAGCTCAGCGGCAGTGTTTGCCTGGCAAGCACAAGGTCGTGAGCTCGATTGCCGGTACCGGCGAAAAACAAAACAAAAACCAAGAACACCAAAGTACAAGTAGTTGGGAAACCAAGTCAGCCCACACTACTTTTGAAACATGAACTGTACCCGTTAACCCGTTTCCTATCCTGCGCATTGAGGCCTGGGCTCGCATGTGTTAGGAACACATTCTACCAGGCAACAGCCTCACCCTTTTTATAAACACTTTTTTGAGGGTCTTGCCAAACTGCCCAGACTGGCATCAAACTTGGGATCCTGCCTCAGCTGAGGAGCTGGTATCGCAAGGCTGCACCACACGTGGCTGAAGCTGTTCCTGCCCATACCAACACGAGCCTGCCCTGTTCCCTGCCTCACGCTACCTGATAGTTGGTTCGCTCATCACTCCCTCCCCCATCTCCCCAGGTCCCAGGCACCGCCTTTCACTTCTAGGAGACACATGTAAGAAAGACAAGGAAAACTCACGGAGTAAGAAAGAAGTGAGATTGCTTATATAGCAGGATGAAGTATGGAATCTCCTGTGGAAGAATTTCAGCTGCTAGGCTACACAGTACTATAGCTGCCGCCAGGATCCAGTACTGTCAAAGACAAGTACTGACTTTGTTGGGCAATAGTTACATGGTGTTTGCAAAAATAATTTCTGGGTGCCTGTAGTTCTTGGCTTTCAGGAAACAACTGTTAATCTTGGCCCACTTTCTTGAAGGAGGAAGATGTTGATGTAAAGCCTGCAAAAAAAAGCGAGGCCCCCTTTACTCATAAAGTGGACATGAAAGCTCGATTTGAACGGATGGCTAAGGCGAGAGAAGAGGAGGAGCAGAGGAGAATTGAAGAACAGAAGTTACTAAGAATGCAGTTTGAACAGAAAGAGATCGATGCTGCATTACAGAAGGTACGAGTCCCAGGCTTGCTTACTTCCCATGGATGGTCTTAAAAACCAGTTACACAAAGAATTTTAAATGTTTGAATCGCTCTCAAATCACCATTTTGTGCTTTGTAGTTAATGTTCTTTCGTATCTCCAAAATCCCATTACAAAATCTGTGCTCGGATAACTGATCATTATAAAGCCAACCTGCACACACTTATTTTCATATAGAAAAGAGACGAGGAGGAGGAAGAGGAGGGTAGCATCGTCAACGGCTCCACTGTTGAAGACGAAGAGCAAAGCAGATCAGGAGCGCCCTGGTTCAAGAAGCCGCTCAAAAACACGTCAGTTGTAGACAGTGAGCCAGTCAGGTTTACTGTACAAGTAACGGGGGACCCCAAACCAGAAGTCACGTGGTGGTTTGAAGGAGAGCTGCTGCAGGACGGAGAAGACTATCAGTACATTGACAGGGGGGAAACGTACTGCCTCTACTTACCAGAGACGTTCCCAGAGGACGGAGGAGAGTACATGTGCAAAGCAGTCAATAACAAAGGCTCTGCAGCTAGTACCTGTATTCTTACCATTGAAAGTAAGAACTAAGCAGTCTTTTCATCTTCTACTCCATTTATAACGTGCTTTTGCCTTCAAAAATAATTTCTCTTCTTGTCTTTTTAGCTGACGGCTACTAAGCTTCCTTCTCCTCCCTTGGAACTTTCTCTCCCCTCCAACTTTCTTCCTGCATCCATCTTTTCGGTGGCTGGGCCAGAAAAGGAAACCAGAAGTGCCACTAGCTTGACTTAACTCCTTTTCCTCAGTTTTCAAAACAGAAGCTCATCTAAAGAACACCTTCTTTTCCAAGCAAGCATCAGATGTGTCACCATACTCTGCAGAAGTCAACAAAATGCATCTAAGGGGGATGGAACACTTATTCCATTATTTGAGAGACATAAAAAAAGAGGTGTATTTCCCCCTAATTTTTGTACCAGTTAATTTTTAAAAGTATACATTATTTTGCATGGAAGAATGTCCTTTACAAACTTTTACACCAAAATCACTCTGAAATAGCTAAGGCAATGAAAGTGGAACCTACAAATAAGTGGACTTTTTTTCATAGTAGTACATAATTTTCATCGTGGTAGTTTCAGTTTTTTTTGAAGCAGATATATTAAGGGAAAAGGGTATCATTCTTTTCATGGGAAAGAGCATTGACAGAAACAAACCTAAGTAGGATGTTTAAAGGAAACTGCCAGACAAAACTTCATAGAAGCCAGTGTTCTGAATACTTAACATGTACTTTTCAAATGTATAATACACAAACTTATACAACAAGCTTTTACTGTGATCTTCTCTGAGCAAATTATATTTTAATGAGAAAACTTTGTATTAACAATTCATGCAGGAGAGATTTCCAACATCCCTGAAGGTTTCAAGATCTAAGAGGATGAGACTTAGAAGTAGCACAGCTTTCAATCTAAAATCCTAATCTTTAAGTTTGTAAATAACTAGTTATTCTCTCCTACCAAGTTGTTTTATATTTTAATTTTCTGAAAGACAGTTTTATTTTACAGTGTGAAGCCATGATGTAACTTGTGTATTAAAGGGGGAAAAAACCAGATCTTTCCTCAAAGACTTGTATGATCAAATGCTTATTGATAACTTCATTGTTCCCACAGTGCATAAACCTTTCAGGACAAATATAAGGGAGAAAAACTTTTTACTGGGTATTATATGTATCAAAGACACAAAGTACTCATATAATATTTGTCAATGTACATTTATTTTTTTATTGAGACCATAATGAATACAAAATTACAGCAATCATGTGTCCTTTACATACGTCATTAAAACAAACTCTAAACCACAGTTTGTAAAGTATTCAATTTACCTCAAGTCCAAGCTGCATCTCCCTAAGACACTGTTCCCATCACAGTAGCCATTTTAAGCCAATCTTCTTTTTACACACGGGTAGTTTCTGTAGAGAACACTTTTCTCAGGACGAAAATGCATTGAGCATGCATAAGAAAAGAATATATATATTCTCAAATACATTTAATAGTTTCTTTAGGGATTATTACCAAAGGAAATAAAACCCTGGGATTTGCTTCGTAAAAGCACCAATTAAAAATCCCTCAAAAGTTTATGTTGTGGTAAGAAAAGTCAAGTGACTGATTAAACAAAAAGTAAGGTTATTTTCAGAGTCAAAATTATCTTTAGGTATTGTTAAAATGCATTTTAAAATGAGGCAGCATTTCAGACACAGAACAAAAATAAGACATCCTCACTGATGCTAAACTCTACAGCATTATTCTAGACAAGAGAGAACTTTCCAGAGAGAACTGGTTCTACTGGCAGAGTATTCAAACAAATAAAATGCTAATTCCTTCTCAAAGTACTCTATTTCTACTCAAACTCACCCTTATTAACTACCAAGATGTTTAAGGATGTATTTTACAGTATTAATAAACAACTAGTATCAAATCACTAGTTTTAATTATCACAACCATTTTCATTAATTAAAAAAACAAAACTATACTTTCTCATTTCTAAAAGAAACAAAACAGAAGTATATCACCACACTAAGATGTCTTTTAAAAACTTCAAATTTTTGCTTAAGTGCTAAATCAAAGAAATTAATTTAACTTCAATCTAAACTAAACATTTTTCCCACCACTCCTAAACACACACTGCATTCAAGTTAACTGGCTCACCTTTCCGGCTTTCCGTGTATTTCAAGGTTAAGGTTAGCGCCATTTTAAAAAATGCTCGTTATACCAGTGAAGGCTTATGGTAATGAAAAAATATCGAGATAAAAACAATGCCCAAATACCTATTAGCATTCATCTATATTCTTTTATAAAAATGCAAACTACAACTAATCAAAACTTGACAGACTCTTAAGGATGAAAGAGCCCCTTTGTACTGTCAATTTTAAACACACCTAGCATTGATCATTAAAACACACAAACACATAAATGTGGTGCAGTAAATGTAACGTAAGAAATGTAACAGTTCATGGAACATTAAAGATCAAGTGAATAGCACTTTAAAATGAAAAGTGATCAAAAGCAGGTACATTACACCCTCTACCATATTATGTATGGGAATACATTTCATAGTTCTCAATGATGACTTGCCAATTTTACCTTCTACATGAGCCCTTCTATGGTCCATGCTCATCGGCTCACCAATGGCATACACTCAAAGGATTCCTCTTTATGGGTAACTATCTCAGGACCTGATTTTATGAGCTATGATTTGGTGCTTGCAGCATCTTCAGCACTGTGTGTGAAAATGAAGGCAGTATTTTTGAATATTTTCCTTTGTTGTAGAGATAAGCAGGAATTTTAAAAGGATCAGCACATTTTAGAAATCGAATAAACAAAACTGATAAGATGCTGCTTTAATACATTCATCTTAACTCAAAATATGTACCAGTTAAAATCATCTATAACACACAAACATTTTAAACTGGCAAAAAAGAAAATAAATGCAGCGTCAGTTATTAAATTATTAAAAGTCAGAAAAATATTGGTTGCTACATAGATTATGAAGTTATTTGCTATACAGTTAACATTTCACTGATGCACATGCTTTTTATCAAAACATACTGCCAGTACTCCTATAATTTTTCCTTTTTCAGCATATAACAGAATTATCTAAGAAAAATCGCTGTAAAATTGACCCATAATGTTCTTACTGAATTATTATAGTTAAGAATAAGAAAAAATGAATTATAGCTTTGGAGGGAAAAAAAAAAGTCCTGTCAATCACACAAACCAACTGTGAAGGCTGTTGACGTTTCTGACCAAAGGATTTCCTACATCTTGAAAACTATGTAACTGTCCTTAACTGTAACACTTCAATATTTTTGGGAAAAATACAAAAAGGTTTGGATATAGTTCAGTTATAGCAGCAATCTACTCATTATTTTCTTGCTTTAATTAAAAATAAAATAAAAAAACATCACCCAGAACAACTTAACAGACTTTCCACTAAAATGGTAGCATAAATAACAAAATACATTTTGGGGAAGCAGTAGCAGATTGCTTTTGAGTACACAACCACAAAAACCTCACAGGGACAACATTAATGTACTGAAATATTTATTTATATATGTCCTTAGGTTGTGCTTACCTGGTGCTTTTTGCAGCAGAACCTAAGGTGGAAGGTCTGGGAAGGCACTGTGAAGTATAAATAATTGCACTGTTTGCAATTAATAAAGATTTTAAACCTTAAATGAATCAAAATCAACAGCCTCCGATTTTTGAGTTATGATACTGAATCTAACTGAATTATTTCTTCAGTTTAATTAATAAATGCACCACTGTCCTAAAAGGTCATCTACATAACAGTATCATGCAAAATACTGAACTTGTTTTTTTCAATACCCTACTCTTAAAGATAATAGGTAACTCCTTAACTATTAAACTTCAAACTAGAACTACATACTGAGATCTAAATAAGGGTAAGGGAAGTCCCCCTACGTTACATAAAACAATCAACATTTCAGAATATCTACAAAGAACTGTACTGCTATTTTCCACCCTACAGGTAATTTCGACATTTATGTCCTTGAACATCTTTCCTTTTAAAGTATATTCAAAACAACAAATGGTGCTCCTTACCAATGACAAAACTAATATATTACTTATGAAATGGTGTTACAAGTGCTACACTGCTTATTTGCAAACAGAAAACCACATCTGCCTTAAACATTTCAAGTTTTTCATATTAATATATAAGATACGCATACTTTACACTGAAAAACAATTATTTCAGGAGCACCGTAATACTATTCAACTTTGTTAATGATCAGTTTTCTTTAGCTATAGCTAAAGCATATCAAAAATACTTACCCATTAAGCTCACTTTAAAAAAAATACAGAACTATGTATTATTATTCTATATTACGAAGCAGTTATGGTTTTCCAAGATATCAGCACTGTATTCCAACATAATATTCACACAAAATAGGCATTTGCATTATGTGGAACATTGACAAAAAGATACTGTTGCAGTTCATCCATTTGTCATTCTGATGTACTTACAGTGCAATGCTCCTTGAAGGAACACAATCAAGGATGATACACAGCACAGGCCTCCTCACCCCTACAGAGCTAGTTCTATACTGGCTGGGTCAAACCTGCACTCCAACAGACAATGGCAAGACAGACTGTATTTGCATGTAGTCTAATATATTCATATGCAAGAGCCAACAAATATGCAAAGAGTAAAACAACGGATTTCAACAAAATATCAGAACTTCAGCATGAGTGTTAAAGAGTAATAAAATGATTTCAAGTACATAAAAAAATTAACTTGATTCAATGACTGGACTTGTGCATTTACAAAACAAAGCTTATCTATACTGCAAAAAGGAAAAAATGAAAAAACTTGAACGTTTCCATACCCCAATTATGTTTCAATGGCAGATGCAATGTAGCTATATTTTTTGCATGCTACTCACTTTTCTATCCTACATTTAGAAAGAAACACTGATATTATTATTATTATTATATACATTGAAAGAGTTGCTTTACATGAAAAAAACCTTATTAGACTATTCAAATTCACTATCTGAAAACTGTTTAAAATCAGTTATGCTGAAACAGTCTTGGAAATCAAGTAATTATCAAATTAAAACAGAAAGGTTAACTGTTATAGCAGCAGTACAGGTCTGAAACAGTGGTCATGTATAAAAGGAAATTTCACTGTTAATGCAATGGAAGTATGCCAAAAGATCATTGTACACACATGCAGTTTTAATCAAACAGAAGGAAAAAAATGAAGATATCAGGATTACTTGTGCTGAAATAGCCAAATACAACAAATGGAAAAGTCCTCGAATCTAGCACTATACTGCAAGGGGGAAAAACATGCCAGTGTTTAAAAACTCAGTAATTCATGGGGAAAGCTTATATATTTGTGTATATGTATCTTAATTTATAACTGCTAAGAAATTATGAATCCTTTAGCCACATATCCAACTTACCGACACAGGAGGTTTCATATCATTTATTGTAAAGCACAAAACAGGCATTTTAAAAGTGAAAGTATACATTGAAAAAGTACATTTATATCACAAAGCATTGACCACATAATAGTTGCAAATACATTTGCTGGAATGTGTACATCTACACTAGGTACTAAAAACAAACCAATTTCCATTTCTACACAGAAATATTAACCTCCTATCAGTAGTGATAGATATTTTGTACATTTTCAAAAAAAAAAAAAACACTACTTTAAACCAAAAACAAAATTAAGATCTTCATCAAGTCGTCTGCATCCATATATTTAACAAAGGTTTTTTTCCCCCACACAATGAAGCAAATACTGTATTGTCCACTTCTTATTATTGGCCCTGTGCAGAAGAGATACATAAGAAATACACAAAAAGTTAAAGAAAATCCTTTAAATGGAGCTAATTCAGGAGTGAATCCTTTAAGAAAGAAAAACTGGTTAATATAAATGGTGGTGGCTTCTTGCATGATTTGCAAATCCCTGGGGGGAAGAAAATTTATTTTTAAAATCAAAGGCATTGTAGAAATATTCAGCACTCAGATGCCAGAAAGCATTATTAAAATCAACCCAAACAACACACCACAATATTTCATTTAGTTATACTTTGCCAGATGAAAATTTAAAAGGTGAACATATTCCCAAACACACAACAGTAAACATGCAGGAGACACGACTAGAGTAAAAAACCAACAGATCAGCAAGTGCGTTATACCTGAGGTGCTGGCGGGTGCTGCGGCATTCCCTGTGGGCTTGTCTGGGCATAGTAGGCCGCCTGCTGTCTATAGTACTCAGCCCAGGCTGCACTGTAATCGGGCTGCCCACCAGGGGGAGCACCAGTGGGCGCAGGGACCGCTTGACCTTTGAGAAAAAACAGAACAACTTTGTTGCTGTAACCACAGTTAAAAGCCCCAAAGAATCTCATTTCTAATAAAAACAATACCTTGCTTCTTGTAATATTCCTCCCAAGCTTTTGAATAATCTTGTGTCTGCCCTGGTTGACCTAAAAAAAACCCCCTACATTTTAATACAGTATTTTATCCACTCAAAGTACAGGTCATGACAAAAGCACAGAGGATCACAACTGTTGTCTACCTGAAACACTCATTTGTGTTATAAAACTACCCTAACTTTAAAAAAAAAAAAAAACAAAAAAAAAGTTTTTTTGGCCTTATGCAGATTATAAATTTGAGTTCTGGAATTCACTATTACCAAAATCAGAACTGTGGCAAAGTCCACACAGGTGTAAAGGAAAGATTCAGGCACAATCCTCAATTCAGTTCCAGTTAGTGAAGTCTCACTGTTCCAATGAATCTAAAAGTGCTCCACGTAGACGTAGACGTAGACGTAGTCTGTAAACTTTCAGACGGTGCCCTGGCAGGGAAGCGCAGAAGGCAAACGATGGGAGCAAACCCTTTATATACCACCGCTCTTACCCTGCAAACCCTCAACAGAACTACAAAAGAACCTCTACGAAAAGCAAACAGAAACATCAAAGGGTGGTGAGTGAAGACTTGATGTGTTTTAAACCACAACACAATTCTATCTGACATAAAGAACAAGGTCAATGAAACACAAAACTCAGCTTTCACGAGATCTTTTTCTAGGCAAGTTTCTTTTCCTACACTGTGAGACAATGAAGAGATACAACCACCAAATACAATACGGAACACTAAACGAGCTCTGAATTAAAACAGACCTTTACACAAATAATTACACAATAAGACATTTTCCAGACACGTGGGAATATTTAAACCTAGTCTCTGTGTTGACAGTATTTAGTTATTCAGAAAAAACTGTCTGCAACTTACTTTGTAATGCAGTTCATGCACAAAAGACTTACGGCTAACTTTTAAAAAATGGTGAAGCTCAGTGTTTGCTTTTCTATTCGTCCAATTTTTTTTTTTTTTTTTTTTTTGGTACTGGGAATAGAACTCACAACCTCATGCTTGCCAGGCAGGTGCTGTGCCACTGAGCTATATTCCCGGCCAATTCGTCCAATTTTTGAAGGCATAAAAAAATCGAGGAGAGAAGAAAATATGTGCCTTTTTACTTAGTTCCTTTCCATAAAAGCCTGCCTCTATGGCCTAATTAAACACAGAAAACCAGAGCACAGAGCACATACTGGAAGCTATTTCTGTGCTTACTTGCCAACAAGGTAACTCTGTAACTTCAGAAAGCAGTCTATCACCATTAGAAAAATGGTCACAGAATTCAAGCAACTGAGCGGATGAAAAATTTAAATTTATGACTATTAACTTTTAAAAACTTTTATGGGGACAACATAGAGCAAACTTTCATATACCAAAGAAACCTCGTATTTTTCTTCCAAAAAAGTAACTCTTCTCAATGAGGAAGTGAGTTGAACATTTTGATCCTACGAGGAGATACAATTCAAGCAAACCTGAAACACGTTTCAGCAGGTGGAAAACCCACACACAGAGCAGTAGCTCACAGAGCCGCTTACAGCCTGCGAGCTAGTTAAGAAAGAGCACTCCCCGCCTCAGAGGAGTGACGGGAAATGAGCACTCGTTTCAGAGGCGCAGTAACAACACAGCACGAGACGGTGGAACAGGCACGCGAAGACTCATCAGACTCCATGTTCCTGAAACACACATCACCCCACATCCAAATACGCCCCCTGAAGGCTGCGGTCAACACGCTCTATCTCCAAGGAAAACAAACCCGGGAGTAAGTAGCCAGCATACGCTGTCCAATCTTAAAGGAAAACTCATTCCAAAAGACAGCCTCTAATAAACGGCCCTGGGGAAACCGGCTACCTACATGCTCAAGATTGAAACTAGATTCCCCTCTCACCCTCTAAGAAGAAATCAAATCAAAACACACCAAAGACCTAGATACAAGAATCACCTCCTCAAGAGGCAACCTGAATAAAGATATTTCCCGAAAGTACAAATGGGCAAGGATTAAGTGAAAATTTATTCAACATCTTAAGCCATTAGGGAGATGTAAATCAAAACTACTTTCAGAAACAGTATTTTACTACAAAAAGGGGAAGAAATGTCATTTACCAGAAAGAGGATGGAACTAGAGACCGTTATGGTATGCGAAATAAGCCAGAGTCAGAAAACACTCGTATTTTCTCTTATGAGAAGACAGACACACAGACTGAACGACCGACCAACCCCAGGAAACCAGGAGGCAGACTTATAGAGAGGGAGGTGGGAGGGGAGAGAGGGTAACGGGATTTAAAACAATCAGGATACGTGAAATGAAATCACCTCCTGGGGAGACTCCCCGAAGAACTAAAGAGAGCACACTGCAGTGACAGCTAGATAAATACTGCTACTTCAACAGCACAAGTCACAGTAGCTACGCTGTGCAAGGAGCCTAGATGCTGTCAGCAGACGAACAGAGAGAGAACACGCTGCACATGCTCACGGCGTAACGGCACGCAGCCGCAGAGGACACCATTCACCTGCAGGATGACAGAGCAACCTGGACACCATCGCGTTCAGTCAGAGAAGCCGGATGCACAAAGTCAAACATCGCACTTTTTTTCTTACATGAGAAACCAAATGATTGAATGAGTCAAATGTAGAAGGGAGAAAAAGAGATTAATGTTTTAAAAATAATCAAAATGGCAGATGTACGCATCCGTTTCCCAAACCCAGCCTCAGCGTTCTGTACGACCACCGTGCACTGAGCTGAGAAAACCATTCACCCTGCCACGCTCACTCCGCTTTTCCAACTCTAACGGCCCAGTGCGACTGTTTTCCTACTCGAAGCAGAGACGTCTTCCTGCTTAGCCCGCCCGAGCCCTGGCTCTCAGCCTCTGCACGCTCCGGCCCTTCCAGGCACGAGTGTATCTCGATGTCACTCTTTCCTCGAATTACTGATCCATCTTTTCTTTTTCTGGGGGTGGGGTGGGGTGGGGTCGGGGAAATGTTGAATCCCAGACCTTGTACTGAGCTACAACCTCAACTCTTTCTAAAATTCTGAGACATGGTTTTGCTAGGTTACCCAGGCTGGCACTGAACCTGCGATCCTCCTGCTTTGGCCTCCTGCGTAGCTAGTATTACAAGCCATGCATCTCACACCTGGCTACTTACTGTTCTCAGGCCAGAACTGAGACCACACTGCAATGGAACATTATCTACTGTTCACACATAGCTTACCGATGTGGACAGTTTCATTTTAATTTTACCCAACAGATAAAAGACCTGCCCTAGAGTTCACCCCTAACGTTCTACTACAGCCACTCTGACCTGCATGTACTGTACACTTAACTTTCTGCATACGCCCACACCTTCCCTCCACCACCCTCATTCTCACTTCTTTCATAAAGACCTTCCTGAAGTCAAATGTCTCCCCAAATGGCTTCACTTACCCTCCTCCAAACAGGAACTACCTCTCTTTACTTTGAAACTTTGTTCTCTTGCAGATGTCTGACAGTAAAGTTCTTTTCATTCTAGCTTTAAAAGCACCCACTTCCAGGGAACTGCAATTCCTTATAAGATTTAAAATTTCCTTAACTATTTAGAATCCTACTGATCTATAAGTATTTCTCAAGAGGGGCATGGTGGTGCATGTCTGTCATCCCAGTACTCAGGAGGCTGAGGCAGGAGGATCACCGTTTGAGTCTGAATTGAGTAAATGGTGAGTTCAAGGCCAGACTGGAATCTGGACTACATAGTAAGTAGTAAGACCTTGTCTCAAAAAAAAAAAAAAAAAATTCCTGAGGAAATTTATAACTCTTTCAGTAGAGGCTTATTCACTAGTACACAATCACACATTTACAGTCCACTAATGGAATTTCTGTTAGTACTAGGAAAAGCTGAATTGCAATTTAAAAGCTCTGCCAGCTAAACCTTACATCCAATGGTAAGCTATATATAAAATGCCGATCATGCCTACACTGGATAGGGAATTAAGAATCAGGAAATCTGGAGTCCTATGAAATCCTAAACAGGCCACTGGAAAGGGTAAGCTGGTCTGAAAAGAGACTCTGAATCTCCCAATTTTATTACTCCTTTTTTTTCCTCCCATTTAAGACACCTGAAAAATGAACTGTATTAGTTTCATGCTTTAAGGTCTCTTATTTGTGGTTCTCCCAAAAAGGTCCCAAGGACAAATAACATACCTAGAAAAAATTATAGTAGTTAAGCAAACTGCAAAAAGAACTTTTATAGGAAAAAAAGTGTAGCTATCACACTACAAAATATGTTCATTAAATACCTAACAAAAATGATCTCATTATTTTCTTAAGATTTATATGTAAGAGAAAACTGCCAACTCAGTCCACTTCACTCAGAAAACTAACAGGTGATCACTGTGGTACTACAGACAGGAAAGATAGTGGAGGACAATCTTCAGTCAAACACAGATATTTATTTCCACATTATCTCTTCCATAAAGGATCTTAAGACATTAAACAAGGACTTCAGATTAGGATTTTAGAGACTAGCTGGCAGGGGAAAGAGCTGCAAAGAAAAAAGCAAGTGAAAATCTTTACCTTGAATAAAAAAACTCAACATACCAACTCATTTTGGGCCATGCAAAATGTGAAAGAGCTAACCAAAAAAATTAAGTCCTGGTATAAAGAAATAAAAAGCTTTAATAAGGTACAGAAGCCAAATCATTCCACAATAATTATCTGAGTTCATTAGTAAGGCTGTTTTTACCCATTCAATACAGCAACACACTTGGCACATATTATGTACTGTAAAAATACAAGCTGGAGCTAATGTACTTCAACCTTAACACTTAGTTCCAAAAATGGTAATGCTACTGTTAACGGTAAGGTGGCTACAGGTCCTGACCACTGAACTGCAAGGGTCAGCAGCACGTGGTTTTTGACGGCTTCCTCATAAAAAGCATTGCAGTCCAGACAATGAATTACACAGACATCCCAAGGGTACTGTTTTCACCCCCAACCAGAGATATTTTTGCCATTCACTTTTCGACGTAATAGGATTTTTAAAACTTTCTTTTCCCCCTTAAATATGCTATTTTGAGATGAAGTTAAAACATTTTAGAAGTCTAGCTGCTGTAGATAAGCCTGAGAAAAACTAGGTCACAAACATAATCATTCTGTTATATTAGTAATAAAATGGAGCATGACTTTTCAAGAAGGCCATTCTAACAGGAAAGCTTTTTCTTTCTTTCTTTAAATAGAAATCCTTCATCACGAAGGATACCTTTACACACAAAAAAAGATTATCATCCCTCTGAAAACTTTTGTTTTGGTGCAAACTGAGATACATTCTTTGGCAAAGGAAACAGTGATATTTACAGTTAAGAATCACAAGCTGACTACCTTATGACAAAATTCTACCTTTTTCTATGCCAGTTAAGATGGGCAAGTTTATCTATTTAGCTTTTATTTTTGACAACTGGCCATGGTATAAATGTGCTAATTTTAAATGAGAATGAGCAAAAGCATATGAAAAGTAAGGATCTGTACAGGTATAAATTCTCTATGATGAATGCGATCATTGTATGTACCTAACATGTACCAATAACATATGATTGGAAAGGAAAAAAGTATCTGCCTAGAAGGGTACCAAGTTCCAAACGGTTCTTTGAAAATATGAATTTGGAAGACAGGCTTGGGACTCAAGACTCTTAAGACTTAAATTCTGGTTCTACCACTCTGTAGTTGTGTGACCTGTTTTGCAACCTGAGTGAATTGTCAGTGAAGAAGTAGCTCTTTTTTCTTCACACCGCCATTCATAGTAACATACCTGTAAATCACTTACCAAGTGTAGCCTACAGTAGGGCAGTTCTCCTAGCTGTGATGCCGAATATTCATCACTGTGCTAAGCATGCAAGGTGTTTGTTTAGCTCTTTTACACTTTACACGGTCCAAAATGAGTGGGTGTATGGAGTTCTCCTTTTTATTCAAGGTAGGTATTTCTATTTGCCTTCTCATTTACAACCATTTTCCTACCAGCTGTTCCCTAAAATCCTAATATAAGGGCTCTCCTAGGTGACTCATTTTCATTTTTCATATGCAGTACTCAAATTTATTAACTGTAATTACTTCTTTCTTGCTTTGCAGCAAAAATGATACCACACAGGACCAATCTGTGCTCCATGCTCTAAAATTTAACCTTATGCCGTTGAGGCTCCAGTACTACAGTAACTGTCTCTATACAGGAGCGCAGTAATAGTGAACGTCATATAGGCCAGTGAGGAAATTTCTACTTTCAATTAACTGGCAAACGTTATTTCCTTGTTATATAACCAAAAATTTAAGAATTATCTGTAATCGTCTTTGTATGTTTGAAAGTCCAGTGATTTCAGACTGTATCTCTTCAGTTATTGCCCTCAATATTATTAAAGTTAAATGGACTGATGGCAACGAATGCTACAGAAATTCAGTGCAAACATGCTTCTATCAAACTCTCTAAACTCTTAATGTTTGTTTACTAACTGCTTCAATTTTAAATAATAAACAAATGAACACACACACACATAAAATATAAACAACATACCCATTTTCTTGTAGTATTCTTCCCAAGCCTTGGTATAATCAACCTGTCCAGCTGGAGCTGGATTCTGTTGATCTCCTTGTTTAAGAAAAACAAAACAAGATTAAAATCTTTAAAAAGCACTACGGGGCCTTCTCTCTCTCGACTGAAGCCAGGAGTGGGAGGGAGTAAGTAGGAGGCAGGCGCTGTATGGCAGTGGTGTGCCTGACGGTGTGAGAGACAGACGGTGGAGTACAGAAGTCATGAAGAGAGAACACACGTTACACTGAGTGTGTAAATCAAAGTCAAATAAGAAAACACATTGAGAACACTAGGTTTCTCACAATTTCTAAGTAAAACAAGGAAAAAGGCAAGAGATAAGTTTGCATTTTGTTTTTCAGGTTTCCTTTCGCAGGCTAAGCAGGCACCGTACCAATGAGCCAAATCCCCAGCACGAAGGACTTTTAAGTGCTAGCATGGAGCTGCATGGATATGAGGTTTTGAAATACAGTACACACAAATATAAAAATGTGTATGTATATGCATGCATGCCCATACAGATCTGGACATTTAAGTGTTTTTATGCATGTGTATGTAGAGGGATGTAGTACTATATGTAAATAAATTAGGAGCTGCAAACTATGACATTGCAACAGCAATAAACATACTTAGTCTGGTTTCTAAACATCAGCCTCCATTACAAGTTAAGTCAAGAGCCAGGTACACGCCTGTAAACCCCAGGACTCTGAGAGCCTGGCACAGAAGGAACGCAAGTTCAAGTTCAGCCAGAGTAACTTGGTGACCCAGAGGGACGCTGCCTCGTAAAACAAAATAAAACAAAAACAACAAAAAAGGCTGGGGACGTAGCAAAAAGGCCCTGGGTTCAATTTCCAGTATGACAAATAACAGCACATGAAAACAGACAAAAGTAACAACACAAAGTCCTTAATGTGCCAGACAATAAAGACTGCTAAAGGGTGATGGGCATTTCAAAAGGGTACAGGAACCACGATGAAGATACTCTTGACTGGTCAAATCTAGGACAGTCTGATTACTAAAGTAATCAAAAGCTTAAAAACACAACCTACTGTATAAAAACAGGGATTCATACGGATACAAATAACTAAATAGGATGAAAAGGAAAGCTCTTCCTCCTATACAATGTCAACTAGTGCATGTACAATGTGGGATATAGAAAATTATCACAACTGTGGTTTAATAAGGCAGGGCTTCTATTCATGAAGGCTAAGGCTGACAGGCACACACAGTGGATGAAAAACAGCATAGTCAGTCTTATGTCTCAGAAAATACTAATTTCAGGGAAAAAAGGTGGTATTACATGTATAGTACAAAAACCTGGTAGATACCAATATAATGAAGTGATGAAGGTAGTACAATATCACCAGGAATAGAATATTTACACATTTTGTAACTGTTAAGGGTATAACATCATTCTGAGTTTTTAGTGCCAAGTAAGCACTACCACATGATCATATTAAAAAAAAAAAAAAAAAAAAAATCAAAGCCGGGCGTGGTAGTGCACGCCTGTAATCTCAGCACTCAACTCTTGGGAGGCTGAGGCAGGAGGACCATTGCGAGTTTGAGACCAGCCTGGGTTACAAAGTGAGCTCAAGGGCAGCCTGAACTGCGTAGCAAGACCCTGTCTAAAAAAACACTACCGAACAAAAAAAACCAAACAGGCCAGGCACTGTGATGCACACCTGTAATCCCAGCTACTGGGTAGGTCAAGGCAGAAAGATCACTTGAGGCCAAGCGTTTGAGACAAGCCTGGGCAACAACGTGAGACCCTATCTCAAAGAAAAGTTTGAAGAGACATAGGTTGATAATCATCTAACAAAAAGTCTGTATGCTTTGTAACACTGAAGGGAAAAAAAATGCAGAAACTATTTCAGACTGGAATAAACTGACATTTAATCAACCTCACAACTAAGTATGGTACCAGACTGGTTTGTGAATTAAGGGAAAATATACTGATGACTGAATTGAAGAGCTATGTACTGGGACAGTAAAGATAGAGCAGTGTTAATGGCACTCATGTGCAGGGCTGTACGATGGTTAGGTATTTTTTTAAAAAATACACAAGCGTATTTAAGGGTAGCATGGCTTTATGCCTACAGTACAGTTTTCAATGATTTTTCGAAATCATGACAATGGGTATGAACACACACATGGTAAGAGGGGGTAATGGTGTAAATGGGGTTAAACACTAACGGCCAGGCCATCTGGGTCTTCCTGGTATTATTCTTAAAACTTTTTTTTTTAAATTGCATGCTAGGGATCAAACCCAAGGCCATAAAGCATGCTAGTGCTCTGCTACTACTGCTACTAAGCTGAATTCCCAGCCTGTTCTTACAACTTCTATAAAGTTAGGAAATAATTTCAAAGTAATTTATTTAAGAAATGCTGTTTACTTAAGTTGTCACCGAATGTGAGAAATTTTAGGTATACAGGGATGTACTTTCTAATTCTAAACACAAACTCAGGCTTTTGAATAAGAAAATAAAAATTTCAGTTACCATAGTTACCTTGTCCGTTCGTTTGGGTTGCAGTTGGCGCGCCCGTAGGAGCCGCAGGAGGTGGCTGTGCTTGTTGCTGATAGTAGTGAGCGTAATAAGCAGCCCAGGCTGCTGAATTTGGATCTGTTCCTGCCTTGGCTAGAAAAAACACAATTCAATGTTTGCACCTGAAGCCTATAATCAGTATCAACCCCCACCTTCTCTCTCTCTCTCTCACACACACCTTTAAAACATAAAGAACCAAAAATTAGTCATCAAACCATAAACAGTACATGAATACTTTAAATTTTTCTAGTATTTTCATTGTTACTAATGGCTTTTATTAATATAGAAAACTGAGGTCTGGCCATGGGCCCTCCTGCTTACAAAACCAGTGAGCTGCAGAAGTAGGGTAGGAATGGAAGTTTCACTCCAAATCTAGTGCTTTGACTCAAACCATCGTGGGGCACTATTTTTTCTGATGTGACTTATTTTGCATTTAATTTGTACAAGAAACAATTTGAGAACTATGAACTTTGTCTTGTCTTCAAATAAGAGACTAGAAACTACAGAAAAAGAAAAGAGTAGCTGTAGCTCATCCTATTACAGATTAGCCGTTCTTCATTTAGTTAGCTGTTCTGACCTTCATGTTACTACTGTACTTGACACATTTATTTTCTAGTCTCTTCAAGACGGTCAAACCTTTCAGTACAGCACTATCCTTCAATACCTTAATGACCTGGCCTCCTGGCTTATCTGTGCTAGTCCAGCCTCATGTCTCCCTCCTGTCAGTATCTTTCCAATACTTCAATTTTAGCCTCAACAAACTGCTTGCACTTTCCAAAAATCTAAGTCTGGGCCACCAGTCATATTCAGCTTCCTCTGCACTCGGCACATCTTTGTTCAGCCCTCAGCAATCAACTGGTGTGCGGTCAGTCTGAGACCGCTTGATCAGAAAGAGTAAGTTTTGTTACTGACTCTGTCCTTTATAATAGAAATGTTAAATAGTGATAAAAGCGCATCTATATCAGTTTGCATCCCCAAAGAGAATGCAACTTCTTCGGCTCTAGAGCCTACATATGTGATCTGCCCAGACTTCATTCTAAGTAGGTAGGGTTCCCAGCTGCTTAAAGATTAGTGAAGTTTGAAAAAAAAAGGGGGGGGGGGAGAAAGACACAAAATTTCCAGAAAAACACAATTATAAAGTGATACAATTAAAGGTTACCTTTAATTACTCTCCAAGCCTTTCTCGAATTTTGATGCACTGCTTTTCTATTTTGGACACTTGTATTTGTCAGCAGTGTCATCTCTATGTTAATAAATGTAAATTACCTCACTGGGTAATGTCCGTATAGAGAAATTAAGATATAAGCAGGGGTGGGGGTGGGGGTGGGGGCCTTGCACACTGGGAACTCGATGTAGAGAACGCCGAGCTCTAGCTCTAGGCCATTTTGTTATTTTGAGACTGTGTCACTATATTGCCCAAGTTGGCCTTAAACTTGTGCAAAGCTGGCAATTTGGGCTACGGATGCCAGTCTCTGCAACTGGAGCGAGAATTAAAAATACTTACACTCTTCATGTTTAAAACTGTGTAAGAAATTAGCTACATACAACATGTACAGTACAGAGAACTCACTAAATATTTACCCCACATAGTACCCATTCATTTATTACCAATGTGTAGAGAAAATAGGCCTAGCAGGGTTCAAAAAGTTCCCGGACACCTCTTCCCTGAATTATAGGACTGGGAGTAACTGAGGTCTGTTTAGAAGGGCTAAATTCTCAACCACTTTCTAGTGTGACCATTAATTTTTTCCACAGACCCCAAACCGTGCTCATAAATGCTATCCAGAAGCATCTCAGTTACCCAATATAAATCCCCTCCGTAACCTGTCCAAACTTGACGCTCACATTCCTTTTATAAATCATGCCACCCCAATGAACTTGTAAGTGGAAAACAAATGCCTTTTCATTCTTTAAATGGACTTATAAACTGTTACAGAGCAAGTACGTCATGCTTTTTCTGTCCCCTATGTGCCCTCTGTCACAGTACTACTTACACTGGAAATGGACTTTTTTTGCTATGAAACATGAACTCATTATCAGTGTATACCTGGATGTTAATACAACCTACGCTGTGTTCTTTAATGAATGGACACTGGTTATCTGGTGACTGTGCTCTTTGATCATCATACAGAGCACACTTTCCATGAAAGTGAGTTATTTTAGGATAGATCATCTTTTAAGAACATACTCAAATACCACATTTTTAAACAAATTCAATAAAACAATTTATTTTCCCTTTTTTTTGGGGGGTTCTTTTTTGAGGCATGGTCTCACTATGCAGTTCAGGCTGGCCTTGAGCTCACTTTGTAGCCCAGGCTGGTCTCGAACTTCTAATGATCCTCCTGCCTCAGCCTCCCGAGTGCTGGGATTACAGGTGTGCGCCACCGTGCCCGGCTAATAAAACAATTTCATGTAAATCAATTATTTGGGTTAGTTTAAAAAAAATACTATATGTAGACACTAATCCTTACTCTGAATAGCTTTAGAAATGACTCCAGTGAAAGAGGACTCAAAAGATAGACAGGTAAAATGGGGAATCATTTATAGCTTAGCAGGTTTCAAAGAATGCCTTTCAGACAAAGATGGGGAAAACAACTAGAGTGTCTGGAAAGACAGGAGAATGTTATCTTATATATAAAAAGATTCCAACTTCAATAGAGAAACTAATTAAATGTATTTTAGAGCTTCAGCATGCAATTATTACAAATGAACGAATTTAATGCATCAAGTTTTCTTATCAAGAGTATAGAACAGTTTGCATGTTACTTAAAAAATCTGGGTGTTCAATGCCCAAGTATTTAACACTGTTAAACGCTAAAGTCATTTCATAAGTAAGTATGAACTATTCTTCTATGGATAATGTCACCATTAACATGCTACTCATGGGGGCTGGGGATTTAGCTCAGCGGCAAAAAGCGCCTGCCTGGCAAGCGCAAGGTCGTGAGTTCGGTTCCCCGGTACCGGAGAAAAACCAAAAAAAAAAAAAAACAAAAAAAAAACCAAACAAAAAAAAACATGCTACTCATTTGCAAGCACTGGTACCCAAAACCTAAGACACTGTACTTCTGTGGCTTTTGGCACTTTGCTGTATCTATTTTGAAGCAGAGAAAGCTAAAAAACAGTTCTGTGAATCCGAGTTCACATCTACATAATGTTGTGGAAGCAGTGCCCAACACTACTGAAAGAGTAAAGAATGCAGACAACGATACACAACGCAGACTCAGCAAGAAGCAATCTAAGAATGTATGGCAGTGGTAGATAAATAAATAGGACACACAAATGCCACCCATCTTTACCTGGATCAGGAGGAGCCTGCTGCTGCCAATGTGGATATGCATTTCCCCAGCCCTGGGGGGCGTACGGGGCTGGAGGACCACTGAAGAGGAAAAACAAAAAATCAGTATTAAACAAGAACATTTACTGCAAGCTAGGATCTTTGTTGAAAACCCCCGAAACCAAACCCAGAACTTACTGAGGAGCTGGGCCAGGTGGTCCTGGATTATAAGGTGCAGGATTGTATGGTCCCATTGGAGTTCCAGGCCCTGGAGGCCCAGGAGGCCCATGGGGGCCTGGGACACCATGGGGCCCATGGGGTACAGGTGGCCCTAAAGGATTTACTGGGCCCTGCAAAAAAGCAAGATAACACACACACACAGATCATAAACAAGTCTTGTTCAAACAATTCAAAGGCTAAATAATCTTCCATTTTACCCTTTTAAGTCACAATGAAGTTTAGATTTTTCTAATTCATGTGTTAAATTTAACTGCCTGAGACATGTAAAAATTTATTAAACAATTGAAGCAAAATTTGATATACTTCCTTTTGTTTCTATTTTATTCAGATACTACTATATTTTTCTTTTAATTTTTACATTTAGCATTCCTGTATCATCTTAATCATGGAAACCGATTAGACAATCAGGTCGTGTACAGTAGCTCCTCTCTCTCCACCCACTCTACCTCTACAGAGAGACACGATGAGATTTCCCAAGTCTTTACGTCCTATATTGTGAACTATGCAGACGAAACTTCATCTCTAATGTTATAATTAGTTCTCCCTCAAACTGGAGTCTGCCTCACAACCCTTCTGTAGCTTTTGCTGGAATCCCATTTAGAGCAGTAATTTAAATTATTGTTCTTTTCATCATAGTCTTCTAAGCTACACAAAAACTTTTCTAAGACTGATACAACATTTTGTATCCTTACCACGCTGCTCTACAATTAACTTTTAGCTGACTCTTTTGGTAAGCCAACCTGCAAAGAGCATTAGAGTTAGTGGCTCTAGAACTCTCTTTTCCTGTGACATTTTGGACAAGATGAATAAAAACTGTGTTTGTCAACTTTCTCACTATAAAATAAAGAAGTTTCATTCAAGTTTTAATTGCTGTTATCTCTTTTTACTATTCCTAACATGTTCTTTCCATATAGATAAATAGAAACATTTTCTACTTTTCTAAAGTGAAGCACACATGTAACCCATTCATTTAACCCCACCTCTGTGAAGTAGATACTATTTTCCTCAGCTCACAGGAGGAAACTGGCACAGAACAAAACTTCTCCAGGCCTCAATGAGTGTGACCCACAAAATTTAAACCCAGGTGGTCAGACTAGAAAACCCATGTTCTTTATTTTTTAATTAAGAAAAAATGTTAACTGGTACAAAATGAAGAATGGTACATATAAACGAAGGACCACGTTGCTTCAACACACCTATGCGCTGGGCAATGCTTAAACAGATTGAACAGTCTGTGGCCCAAACTGTTCTCTACAACAACTTGTCTTGTTTCTCCATACATCCAGCAGAAACCCTTCTCCATCCCTCCCAGGTTAATAAAAACTGTAACATATCACTATTTCTTTCTCCTTTGGCCATCATGCTCTGATTTACGGAGCTCACATTTTTTGAACAATTACACTTGTCAGTAACAAAGAACTTACCTATTTTGGTCTTCCCAAGTGGAAAAAGACTTTTGAACTTCTTTTGTACCCCACTGACTCATGGGAAACATAAAGGAAAATCTTCTGAAAAATTTCTCTACTTATTATTACTAATTTAAGGTGCTCATTCCCTTACATCTTTTGTTAATTTTTCATTGTATAAGATACCAGGAAAACATGATTTGCCTCATTTACAGATCAGCATTGTCAAGGGATTTCACAGTTTTTGTCTTACCACAGAACTTCCCAAAACTGATTGTGCATAAGAATCACCTGGGTTCATGTCTGTAAAATTAGATGCTAGGCATTACTTCAGATGCTCTGAATCAGAAATGCTTGTGCATATTGAGTGTAGGGATAGGAAACATTCAATCAGTTTGTATTTTAAATATAAACCTGAGCCTGTCTAAAAGGCAGAATTTGTAAATATCTACCATAGAATGTAGTATGTACCTGATCATATTTTTTGTCTGAACAGGGATGAGTACAGTAAGACCTGAATGTACACACAGAGTTCCCATAACGACTTCCTTCAACTATCTTCCACAAGTTGCTACACCTCACCCTAATATCGTGTCTGCAGCCAATGGGACCATCTCTTATCTACACACACCCAAATGTAAAGCAGTCCCAAACATCTCGAACTTGGTATTAAAACAGGTTATTTTTAATGCTAGACATCTTTCCTGTGTTGTATGTATTACGTCATGGTACCTCTAATTTCTGACTAGAAGTCACTATAGTGTACCTGAACTGAAGCCTTATTTAAGTAAGAGGGCCTATATTACACATTAAGACACTTAAAGCATACTCACACCAATCTTTTCTTCTATGAGTTGCCGAGCATAGTCTATTTGTTGGGGAGTGCCACGAATTGTAAATAACTTCATGTTAGGATCTGCATTAGGAGGAGGATTTCTCTGAAGTTCTATTCTGGCACCAGATTGTTGGCTTATGCTTTTAATGGTCTCACCTCCTAAAAAAAAATAAATAAATAAAGACATAAAAATAAAAATACATTTCTCCAAAAGTTTAAAGGATGTAAGAGGTACTATCCAAAAGAAAATGATTGTAATTTAATGATCTATTAAAAAAATTTCTGGGGGCCAGTTTCCTGACAATATTCTATTACAATTTTGCATATTCAAAACTTCAAACCGAATTATGTGAAGGTCATATTTCTTTTAAAACACATTAAAGATTACTTATTATGCACAGCTCGCTGGGTGTGGGGGTGCACGCCTGTAATCCCAGCACATGGGAGGCTGAGGCAGGAGGACTGTTGTGAGTTTGAGGCCAGCCTGGGCTACAAAGAGAGCTCAAGGTCAGCCTGAACTGCATGGTGAGACCCTGTCTCAAAAAGACAAAAAAAAAACAACCAAAAACCACAGCTCAATATAGACAACTTACCAAAATATTGTTTTCACAAGCAATGTAAAAAACCAATTTTTAAACATGCAAAAAATTTTAAAACATGATTCAAGAAAAAGCAAATCCACGATCAGGCGTGGGGGCGGGGGGGCAAACACCTGCAACCCTAGCACTCAGAAGCTGAGGCAGGAGGAGTGCAAGTCTGAGCCAGCATGGCAATCTAGCAACACAGGAAGAACCTGTCTCAAAATAACAAGGGCCAGGGATACAGTTCAATATGAAGGCCCTGAGGTCAGTCCCCATTAACACACTCCTCCAAAAGAGTGAGACAGCAAAGACATTCATATGAGAGTCCAAAACTAATTGTAACTATTAATTCTTGGTCCCCTTTCTCAAGGATCCAATGATATTCAAATCTCACTCTTCATTTGTTTTAGTTTTTTATACATCAGACACATAAGGATTCTTTTCTAAACAGAGTCAAAGACACATCACTGCCACTTGTTTATAACACCGATAGCAAGTGTCTAGAAAAATTTAGTGTGTTAAATGTTGAAAGTTTAAATACAAACCAGGTGTGGCGCATACCTGTGATCCCAGCACTCTGGAGATAGTGGCAGGAGGATTGCCTCAAGTTTGAGGGTACCTTGGGCTACACAGTGAGTTCAAGGCCAGCCTGAACTACAATGCGAGACCCTGTCTCAACAACCAAAACACCCTCCCACACAAAAGTTTAAAAATACATTGCCTTTTCCTATTATTAATCCAGTCTTCCCAGTTGGCACAATGAAATTAAACTCCTGTAGTCCACCTGGTGGTCCCATATTCCAGTTGCCTTGACCTCTACCTCTTCCTCGACCACCAGGTCCAGGTCCGCCAGGATTACCAGCCTAAGGAGGGAAAAGACAAGTTGGCATAGAAACAAACTCTTCTTTCCACAATAAAATGTCTATCTGCACCCAGGAGGCTGAGGCAGGAAGATCACTGCTCAAGTTTGAGGGCAGCCTGGGCTATCTAGTCAGTTCAAGGCCAGCTGGAAATACATACTGAAGCAATACCTTGTCTCAAAAAGAAAAAAAAAAGGATTTTTCTCAACTCTTCATAATCTTGAACTAGAAATTTAAGGAAAACTTTAGAGAATAGTTGATGAGAACAATGAACAAATAATATCCATTTCTTTTTGAAACTGGCTCTCACTACGCAGTCTAGGCTGGCCTCAAACTCACAGCGATCCTCCTGCCTCAGCCTCCCAAGTGCTGGAATTACAGGCGTATTCCAACAAGCCCGACAACACATCCCTTACCCCCCCCCCAAAAAAAAGAGCCATGCTCATCTAGACAGGGCCCATATGTAACAATTCTTAATGCTCTAAGCGGTCTACCCTAAACCAATTTAAATTTTCTATACACTAATAACACACTGTTCAACACACTAATAGAAAAATACAAGGGAGACACTTTCAGACTTGATGAAGTTAAATAAATACTTTTCTAGTGGAGGGAATTATGCTTTATCAAACCTGAACACTTCGAAGAAGGTCTGTGATAATTTCTGCAGCATGCTGACATCGATCTGGAGGGCCAGTTATTTGGGCTATCCTATCAGGCGTTGTTCCATCATCTTCAAAATGAAGAAACAGATTAAATTAATTAAATAACAAATGTGTATCAAAACTTACCACTACAAACATTTACAAGATTAAATACATGTACTGACCTGGCTTAAACTGAATTCGAACACCAGCATCATTTTGTATCTTTTTAATCATCTCTCCATTTCTTCCTATCACAATGCCAACAGCAAATCTTGGAATGGGGACCTTATATAAACAAGACTAAGTATTAAGAAAGCTTTATTCCAAAACTCAATCTGTTATCACATCATATAAATATCTACAACAAAGGAAGTGTTAAGGCTCTCTTCTCCGAAACAGGAAAACATTATCCCATTCACAGATCAGCACACAACCATTTGGGTGGGTGTTTTACTTACATCTATCCCTTCATTGCCTCCTATTCTTGACCCATACTCATTTCGAACTTCTCTGAAACCACCTTGATCACGAATTAACTCTAACACCATTTCCTTGGCTTGCTGAAGGAGAAAAGGTCAATTTAGAAAGCACGCTTCAAAACTCTTTAATTATCCAGGTGCATTAGCCCAAACACATCCAACCCCATTATGAAGGAAAAATGCAAGTTTACTTGAACTTTGTATGGGTCGCCTGTAATCCTAAGAGGTTTGTCAGCACCAGTGTTCTGAGGCCCATCCTGAATCATAACCATTTTAACTCCAGCCCGTTCCTGTTAAAATCATAAAAATCATGTATTAATAAAAGGAGACAAGAAAACTGGCTTCAAAATAGATTAAAATTAGTCATAACATAACATAATACCTGCAGTTGTTTAATAGTCTCTCCCCCCTTTCCAATAACTAATCCTGCCTTGCTAGCTGGTATCATGATTTCTTGAACTGCATTTCCAGGTCCATCACCATGATGAAAGCCAGGAGCTGGTCGGCCTTTTTCAACGATCTGGTCTAGTAACCGTTTTGCTGATCTGTTAACAACATTCAAGGAATAAAGTTTAACATACTCGAGCTTATCTGAACAGAAAAATAAAAAATAACATAGTCCAGTAACTCTCCTTTCCTGGGTTTCAGAGTAGGTGCTTAAAGCTAGTTTAAACAGTACTCTCAGTAACTGGCTCTGTGGAGCAAATGCGTAGGATACAGCACTTTTAGCGAGCCTTGGTATGGTCATTGTCAATGTTTTTACATTTATACACAAGAAAATGTCATCAGGGATCCAAGACTGATATTATGCAATACATTTTCTAGGTATACAATTTTTTTTGGAACAGGGTCTCACTGTATAGTGCAGGCTGGCCTTGAACCCATGGCAATCCTCCTGCCTCAGCCTCCCAAGTGCGAGATTATAGGCATGTGCCACCATGGCTGGCATTCAATTTTTTTTCTTTGAGAAAAGCTTAAACTTTTCCAAAAAGGAACACTCTTAATTCTTTATTTCAGAATAAAGCTGATTCATCTGATAAGTGAATGATTTGCTTATTTTTTGTTAGTGCTAGGGATTGAACCCAAGGCCTTTGGCAAGCTAAATATGTTTTCCATCACTGAGCTACACCAGCAGGCCTTGTTTACATTTTTAAGCCACCATTCTGCTCACTCATAGCTAGTATAAATACATGAAATAAGTAAAACTAGCACGCCATTGCAAATATTATAAAGAAAAGCAAAGCACTAATGTCATGTGCACAAGAACGGGTGCTATGTGTATCTATATAGGATGTTGTATCTGTAACAGGCTTTAGTGATAGGCATGTGAGCCAGGAATGGAGGAAAATGACTCGAAGTATCTGGGGGAAACATTACAGTGAGGGGAAAAAAAGCAAGCGCAAAGGACTTAAATGAGGAACAATCATGGTGCGCTAAAAATACGAGAAAGGCCAAATGGGGTAGAACACAGTGAGCTGATAGAAGGGTCAATTTATTTATGGATAAATAAGGTACAAGAGAAAAAGTATCAAAAGTTTCTGTACAACGAGATGACATGAATAAAGTGAGTAAGAGAGAAAGTAGCTTGGCCGTGAGGTGGAAATCAAGAATTCTGCTCTTAATGATCTAAACTGGGAGCTATCTGGACCTGGAAATGTGGTTCAGTGGTACAAGGCACACTCAATGTTCAATCCACACTACTGCAAAAATGAAGCCAGAGAGATCTACAAACACATTCGAGTGGAGATACCAGGCAAACAGCTAGATATGGATAAGTGATAATCTGTGACCTTGAGAGAAGAAATTTCAACATATTGATCAGAATAAAAGCCTGACTAGTATGAGTTCAAGAGAAAATGAACACATCAGATGATGTGCCAAGTATAGTCACCTTTTAAAAGAAATTTTGTCAGGTATGTAACTAGAATGTGAGATTCAAAGATGGCTTTTGTTATGATGGAGAGACTAGCAAAGATGTCTATATACTACTAGAAATAACCTATAAAGGAAGGAAAAAATAGTACAACAAGAGAAAATTTAGTTGCAGGTATAATGTCCTACTGGAGTAGGAAGGGCTGGCCTTAGGCACATAAACACAGGAAATCAATGTATCTGAGTTTCATGGGTAAAGAGAATAAATGAAACATGTGTTAGTGGTGGTGAAGGTAAAACAGTTCCCTGTGCTTTGCTTCTGTGTTTTCAGCAAAGTGGGAAAGAAAAGGTTAAATTCTGAAGATTTAGAAATGGGAAGGTGATAACTGTTTATCTGTGCTGAATAGTTTGGATGAAGAAAGGCACAAACATTGAAAAGCTGGAAACTTTTCAGCCCTGGGGATAAGAGGACAATGGTGTACAAGCAGTAACGAGTGACACTCAGTCTTCACATTATTACTCGTAAGTAGATGTTTAAGATTTTCATACTTACTGGACAGACTCAGGTGTTCCAGTTAGCATACAAGACCGTTCTGGAAGGCCACCACTGTCTACAATAAATAGGAAGAGAATTTAGTCAAGAAAAGATTAACTAGCACCATGATATTTGCAACTTAAAAAAATATGCAATGTTTCTATTCACTTTGAAAATATCAAGACAATAATGTTACCAGGAGCTATCTGTATTTTGCATCCAGATTCCTGTTGAATGCGTGAGATCTGTTCACCTCCTCTGCCAATTACTAGTCAAAGAAAAAGAAAGATGTGCTGAAAGATTATGAAGTATACTTTGACTATATTTTCAAAACTTTCAAAAGTTACTTACTAAAGCCGACCATTCCATCTGGAACTTTGTATTCTTCTGTCATCACAGACCTGCTAAAAAATAACAGAAACTAACATTTTCCCTCTAAGAAAGGTAATTTGCATATAATCTAAGAAATGGAAGTTTAATGTCTCCTAACTTAATTAATCTAAGGTAAGAAGCACACATCCATGGCCAAAATATGGCTTTACCTCTTAGGGAGTTAAATTGGAAATTTCAAGTAAGGTGACATGTCAAGTCAGGACAGATGGTGCATTAAACAGACTCACGGCATAGGCTGCAAAGCAGTGTTCAGGGAATGTCACTTAACAGTTATTCTAACTGACCTTATTTCTTTTAGAACATGGTTAATTTCATCCATGTTTCCAAATTACAAAGGTACCTCACTCAAAAAGAAAAATGCATTGTCTTCCCAAGTGTAGGAAAATCAATTACATATACAAAAAATGCAGATACAGTTACTACACACTAACTTGGTTATATGTACATCTCAATAAAACCAGGAAAGTACTTCTGAAAAGGGCTTTTGACGATACCTTTGCTGCTGGTGCATCGGTGGTAACTGCGATCCAAAAGCTACCGAAAATTAAAATAAAATGAAAAATTTAGGTTTATTTATATATTTAACAACACAAGCATTCTACCATCTTCCTCTGATGCATGGTCAACATGGTGAAGAGATTAAAATTTTCTACAGACGATTTAAATCATCCCTGAGAGTGGCACGGAAGCCAGTGAAAGAGCAAATACATATCAATGGCATAGGACAAAGCACTGTCTCTTTAGGTGGTAGAAGCAGATTAAGAACTAGAGTAAATAAAATGAGTATGTGTAGTAACTAAGCAGTCAATCTTTACACATACCCAGTTATAACTAAAGACAATTTTTTTTAAAAAGAGAAAGGTATACAAAGAAGTGCAGCCAGGTGTAGCAGCACATGCCTGTTATCGCAGTCCATGGTAGGCTGAGGGAGGAAGACTGCTGCAAGTTCCATGCCAGTCTGACTACACAGCACAAGTCTGGACTAAAACCACCTCACCAATAATAGAAACAAAACCTCAACTCTAAAATTCTGTTAACTTTTAACACAGCTTAAAATAAATACTTACAGTCATTTTGAGGAGCAACTTTCTTAGCATCTGGTTGATCTGCAAAATTAAGATTCTTTTAATGTTTGTGCCAGTAAGTACACAAAGCTTCCCCCACTCAAGAATACCAACATAAAGATGTATTAAAATATCTGAAGAAATGGTTTATCACTTGAACCAAAATCACCAAAACTTTCAACCCTGACCCATAACTAAAGGAAAAACTATTTTTTCATTCTGTTCCTGTTTAAAAGATGCACAGACACTTAAAAAAAATTCTCTTTATATCAAATAAGGCAAAGTATTTCGCTCCGTTACTAGCAAAGTATCACAGACGAAAGGCTAATGATGCTTCCACTGTGCAGCCTACGACTTGCGAAGAGGGGCGTCTATCACAGTGTAACAACCTGACAAGTAAAAAGCTGAGTATATGTCTGACCGTGACCACAAAGCTATACGGAAAAAAAGTCACATTATAAGACAGTCTCAATCTAAACTGTTCTTTTATTCCTACATAAAACATTTCACTATGTAAAACTCCAGCAGAAAACACTCAAAGCAACTACATGACTACCATAATCTAAATCCATTACACAGATGAATACAATGCATACCTTAGAACAGACAACCTAGAACTGAAGTACTAAATTCTCCCCCCTTCAAACTTTAATGATTAAACATGATTGTTGTGCAGCAAAAATTCAGACACACATCCAAGAGGTATCTGTGTCCGTTAAGAATCCAATGGTTTACTTCACGTTTACATACTAAACACAGGTAATAAATAAAAATTCCTGCCTTTAAAAGGAGAGGGCATTCCCTCCCAGTGTGTGGTACTGCTCGGACTTGTCCAAGAGCCATCTACACATAAAATAAAAAGAATACATTACATACAACATCTGAAGCATCATTAGCTCATTTTTTCTTTGTATATTAAAATCCTCACTGTAAATATGAAAGACACTTATATAAAAGGAAACCAAGTACTCCTGGATAAAAAGCTACAAATACATTCTATAGACTGGGTCACAATCCTTTTTTTTTTTTAAAAAAAGGGGCAAAAAGGTATCAAAATTCACACATCAAACCTAAAACAAAAAAATGGGCAAACTTCTAAGTTCAGCAGCTTCAACAATTATTTTTTAAATACAAAGAACTGTTTTAATCCAGGTTTTAAGATAAACCTGAAGCAGGAAGTAGTAAAATACAACTAGTAACATAAAAATGCCATCATCTACAACAAAACACAGTAGTGGCAAACTGTAACCTTTAAAATAAAATCTAAAACAGCAACATAATGAAAACAGAGATGAAGCTTTGTCATTTGGGAAAAATCACCAAGGTGTTTCTAAGCAAATGTATCTTTTGTTCTCCGCATGATGAACAAGTCTGTGCAAACTGTCAACATAGCACCACCCTAACCGTGGGAAAATAAGCTGTTTTCTACTGCGACAAAACTTGCAGTTAACTCCAATTTTACTTACCTTATCTAGGTTTCTCCTCTTTTTCTTTTGAGCCTAACTATAAACCTTATGATTTTTAGGAACCTTATAATAAAAATGTTTCAATAAAATAAAAACAACTGCAAGTCACTTCACCTAAACATTGTATATAACAAGGAAAATCACTTATTGGTGTGACTTACCTCCATCTTCTAAAGGCCTTTTTTGTCCCCCATAACCATAGTCATTTGAATTCAATGATGTACCAGCATCACCCCCAATTTTTGCTGCAATCTTAAGAAAACAAAAACACATTACCATTAAGGACAGCAACACAAACTGGTGTATAGTATTAAATACTAAATTTCCTCATTTATTTCTTAATACATATATATGCTAAATGTAAAAAAATCACTTGATAAACTAAAAAACTATAGTTTAATTTATTACTACCATTAAATACTTCAAGGAGTCCGAATAATCAGTCTGAAATTAAATCTCTGGTCATCCTTATATCAATCAATAAAGACATAACCAATTAGTAATCTTCAGTAGAGAAACCAGCTTTGAAGAAAATGTGGCTCTTCATTCTATCTTTTCCGTGGCTCTTTCCCAAGACTAATGAAAAGATATGTGTGGGCACTGAGTGTGTGAACACTTTCTGGGACTCTATTTAGGATATGCTGAGTTTAAATGTGTGGCCTGCATTATATTTCTACTGCACGATGGTATTCTAAGGATCCATGAGGGAGACTGAGGAGCTCTACAAAAATCAGCAAGAGAACCCTAACTCTATTAAATTCACTTCACTCTTCCATGACTTTTTACCTGTAAGAGTGGCAAGTAATTGCTTGCACTCAACTAAACACACACCACAGAAGAAATACCAGCTTCGAGTCACAAATGGGGCCCAACAATGGAAATTTACTCCCATTTTTTCTCAGAAAAGGGAAATGGAATGTTACTGACAAGGGCCAACCTCTACACTGTTCTACATCCTCTATCAAAGGTAAGTGATGGACTCATGGAAGTTATTACACCTTTCAACTTTAAATGTGCCTGAAAACATCCACGTTAAAAAACTAAAATTTGCTAGGCACAGGGGCCCACACCTGTAATACCAGCACTCAGGAGACTGGGGCAGAAGAACTGCAACGAGGCCAGCCAAGACTACACAGCAAGTTCAAGGCCAGCCTCAACTACTCAGGAAGACCCTGTCTCATAATGAATTGACTGGCTGAATGAATTAAAAACTTGTAGTGACTGCAACCCTAACATTCTGCTGTGGAACAAACCCAATTAATTCCACTTTTAATATAATCAGGAAACTGGAAAAGAATACAGTGAGACTTCAAGTGTTAAATCAAATATGGATTACTTAAAGCCAGTATATATCAGACCTCATAAACCAATTATACTTCCCAAGTTCTTAGATTTCCCTTTCTTCATCTGTAAACATAAACAGGTATCACACAAAGCGTATTACTGAACTGCTTGATTAAAAAAAGGTACACAATTTGATTTTCTTGACTGTATTTGCTGAATCTAACCTTTCTTAACCATCTTTAAATGTAAAGCCACTTTATCAATTAGCTTATTTGCATCTTTGGGCATATAATTCAATCTTACATCTTCCTAATCACAGCTGAAAATATTTTTCCACCCTAGACCTCAAAATACATATTTAGCCCTTAAATTGTTCCTTAGCAATTTAAAAACACTGCCTAGGGGCTGGGCGCGGTGGTCCAAGCCTATAATCCCAGCAGTCTGCAGGCTGAGACCAGAGGATCCACACCAAGTTCAAGACCAGCCTAGCCTGGGTGTGGTGGTGGTGCATGCCTGTAATCCCAGCACTGGAAAGATCATTGGGAGACTAACCTGGGCTATAAAGTGAGCTCAAGGTCAGCCTGAACTGCATGAAGGAGACCCTGTCCCAAACCACAAAAACAAACTAACAAACAAAACAAAGACCAGCCTAAACTAAACATAGTAAGACACTGTCTCAAAACAAAACTGCCTGGGATCCACAGGTATGTGTATTAAAAGTATTTCAGGCCAGAGTTACACTACTTCTAACAACTGGGAAATAGTTTAGGTTGTAACTATCCTCTGCAATTAACTTTCATATGCTGCTTGTAGAACTGCTCTCTTAGAAGTCTCTGGAACTTCCCCACAGAGAAAGGATACATACTGATATCTTACTTATTGAACAGCTCTAAAACTATGCAAATGAGTTCATCCAAAAGAAAGCCCAGTATTTCAGAAACAGAACTGACACAAAGACAATTACACTAAAAACACAGATTTGATTATCAATTCTCCAGGACCACTAGAAAATACATTTTCTAGGTTACTATAAATAGGACTTAAAGAGAAAATTCCTAAAAAATTAACTTCCTACTATTCTTATGAGAATATTATTTGACATGCATCGAGGGTTGGGCACCTTATTTCGTTTGATTTTAATCCACAAAACCAAAACTTTCCATCTGGACCTTGTTCTACTTTTTGAATGAATAAATATTTTTTGTGCTTCCATTTTCTTTCCTTTGTTAGCATTTTCCACCTTCTTCACAGACCGTTCTTCAAATCCAGCAATTCTGGAGCTGAAACAGTCCTACCACTTGATAGAGATGTTTCTTTTTTTTTTTTTTTTAATAGAGCTAATTATCAGAATGTAATTAAGTGAACTTTGTAAATGCCCAAAGTCTGTTAGCCTCTTTTCTAATTTTCTGTTCACCACATGCTTCCCATGGGGAGTGTTGTGTGAACGATTCTACTGTTTTGTACACACAGCCTTTTGTCCTTACCCAATCTTAAGCATTCTGTGCCTCAATCACCACATCTGCACCAATAGGGATAACCGTTTCTAAACCTACCTTGAGATGGCTGTGACAATTAAATGAATTGACAAGATATATTTAATACACAGCCCCACATGCAGTGTGTCCTAAAAAAAACGCTACTTATAAACAAACCAGCACACTGTATCATTTAACTCTAAAACAAGGTGCAGAGCAAGATTTTAGATACATGTATTGATGTGTTTTCCATCCTGATCAAAGATAAAGCTGCATTCTATGTGGAGGCCAACAAGTAGATAAAGCTCTTTGTACCCCCAGGATCTGACACAGGCAATACATAATGCATTTCTGAATAACGTTAAATGTTTTCAAACATTTTTTCATGTTCATTTTCAAAATAAGATTTCATCACTACTTACTGTGGTCTATCTATTTAGAGCCATCTGTACCTTTTCCCACCAAACTTTCCACTACACTTCTCCCACTCAATGCCGTGTTCTCCGATTCTGGTCATTCCAAACATCCCCATACCTTTGCACAGGTTTCTGCTTTTCTCTACTGGCCAAATTTTCATTTTCATTTCACTGTGCCTTGCAAAAATGTCACAGGTCAGGGAGTTAGGGACCCCTTCCCTGGTATCCTGTACAGTGCATGACACACAGCAGAAATGCCATAAATGTTTACAGAACAAGTGGATGAATTAAATGTTCATATTATGTCTGTTCTCTTATTAAAGCATTTATCTGATAATTCTGTTCATCTCCATTTGGCCCCCTATCTGTATCACAGGTTCCTAGAAAGCAAGAATCCAATTCAGTTTTAAAAAACTCCATTGTCTATGTATGGTGAGTGGCACTAAATAAATATGCCAGTTTAACACAAAACTGGTAGCTTTTCCAACTCAATTGAATAAAAAGCACTCAGGTTCTGTCAGTTACATGTTTCCACTGCTACTACTGTATATTCCAAAGTTTAAAAAAGGTGAAAAAAAAAATATAGAACTACTATTAATGCTCACCTTTTGTGACTATTTTTGCCTAGAATCACGACCAGGTACATTTTTCTACTGTGCTCACACATAATACCTGCTCACACTAGAAAAGTAAGAGTGAACGAACGTTACCGCAGATTGAGTGAATTTTGATTTTTGGTTCACTGATACTTTTAATTGTATGAGCGGGTGGGTAAAAAGTTAAAGGAAGCGAACTCCTAAAATAATTAAACCTCGTTTGTGATGACCACTGGCTTAAAATACCCTGCACCTAATACCATATCCGGCGTCGTAACAGGAACTGTAGAGTTTTACTTTCTCTTACACCCAAGCCCGTACCGAACTCATAAATTTTAAAACTGTAAAAGTATCAAAGAACTAAAGAATTAAGCAATCTTTTCACTCTCTAAAGTACTTGCACCTTTTTTTATGGTTTTTGGATTTTTTTTGTGTGTGTGTGTGTGTGTGTGTGTGGCTTTTTCCTCGGTACTGGGAATCGAACTCACGACCTTGCGCTTGCCAGGCAGGCGCTGTGCCGCCGAGCTAGATCCCCAGCCCCCCGGTTTTTGTGTTAAAGCGCTGCATCCGGGCAAGGAGCGCCTCCGGGGCAAAGGCGCGCACGTACGTGATACAAAGAGGCCCGGTCAGCTTACGGCTCGGAACCTAGAGAGGCAGATTCAAACGCGGCCCCGGGCACCATGGGCCTGAGGCCATTTTGAGAAACGCGAGGGGAGGACCGGCCGACGGAGACGCGAGTCCCGCCGCGGCCGCTCTCTCACCCCAGCCGCTGCGCGCCCCGCGGCTCCCGGACACCCAGCCCGGCCCGGCCCCGGCCCC